GCAAGGAGAAGGGCGGGATATAAATTCGAATAATAAATAAATAAATAATAAATAAATAAATAAATAAAAAAATGCATGAATTGTCATAGTGTGGCATAGTAGCCACAAAAGCTAGTAGTGAGATCGGTCATGTACATCACCTTTGGGCATAACGTTAAATTAGAATGCATGCAGATACTCCTGCTTTTGATGTTTTGTGACTCACTCTAGTAGATACACATTAATCACTGTTCCACATGCAAGCATTTACTGAGGTAACCAATGATAAAATAAAAGGAAATGAATTCAAGTTCTTCCAAAGCCAAATCTCTCTTTGATCTTGGCTACTTCAATATAGTGTCTTACTCAATGTGAACCTACCACTTTAATTCTTACTCTCATGCATTGATTTTCCAATATAACTACCAGGAATATATTTATTCTCATGGCTTGCTACACAGAGACAAAAATAAGTATAGAAAACCTGCATAGAATTCATTGTAATTTTCATTTTCCATTTTAAACATCAGAGCAGGAATGACACCAACTCTACCTACAATGAAGAGAACCTGGCTCAGTGTATTTTTGATTTTTTTGGTGCTGGGACAGAGACAACCTTGGCTACTCTGATGTGGGCACTGCTCCTCCTGACCAATCATCCTGACATCCAAGGTGAGAGAAATCTGGGCTGTGGGAACAAGAGCCAGTCTCAGGTTCTATAATATACAGAAATTATTTGAAATTCTAAGATATCGAATGAGGAGCTGAATCTATTCTTCATAATAATTTCCCTATGTAGATTCTTGATCCTATAAGCAGGGGCATAAACTTAGCAGGATTAAAGGAAAGCCAGGAATGTACAAACAGAGAGCCTTCTTTGAATTCTCAATAAAATGTTGAGTGAGGAACTAAAAACTGGAATCAGTACAAATCTAAAACATTTAATACACTCAATGCAGAAATCTACCATGCTTTTCAGATTTGCTACTTGTTTTTGGCCTAAATTGCATATAGAGGACCAAATTTCAGCATGATAATAAATATAGAAAAAAGTCAAGATGGAGGCAGCAAGCAAATGCA